ATATTAATCATTGAGGATACATGGATAAATTTGTGGACTTTTGCTTTGAAACTTAAGATGGAAATGGTGGTCGAAGAACTAAACTGCCATGCTTCTTGTTGCAAGAGAAAGACATGCCACTCATAACTTCTTGTCAGTGACCAAATTGAATTCATGAGACCAACTCATTACAAAATACACACTCTATATTGTTAGGTTCTGATCTCTTTTTTTTATTTATTTATGATGCACTCTAATTTGTGGGCAACTCTCACTCATTTTGAATTTAGAAAAAAATTTGACCTATGCACAGGTAGCTTCTTAACAAATATCATTGCAATGGCCTAAGGTTTTACTCAGTTAATGGAGCAGTGAATCCTATGGTTTTACTCATTACCCTAACTTTGAGAATACTAATAACTCCAAGATGATTGCAATGGCCTTCAAGGTGAGCTGCCTCACAACCATATCTCAAAAGCTAAATATCTCTACTAGTTTCATAGCGAGGGGCGGAACCAACTTTTCTTTTCAGGAGGGGCAAATTTATCATGTGTTGTTAAAATTTTAAGTGCTATGCAGATAATTATAAAAGTTAAGGTGCTGGATATGTAAATTAGTTAGTAAATCAAAATAATCAAGAAACACTGAAATAAATTAAACAAATCTCATAGAAAAAACCGAAATAAAATGAAACAAATCTAAAGTTATGGGTTCAAAATAACCTTTAAAGAAAAGCCATGCAAATTAAAATAATCTTTAAAGAAAAGCCATTAGAAAAAACTGAAATAAAATGAAACAAATCTCATAAATTTACATGCGGTAGCCACACACAACTACATCAAATCTACTCTATATTCACATTTAAGGCTCAACCTCCTTGTGGAAGCTGTTGGAAGATAGAAGTTGTTTTCTCTACTTGATTCCCATTCCCGTCGATCCTACCCAAATTAGCAAATAAGCGTTGTTTGTCGTGGCTTACTGAGAGATCCAGGGAGGTGAAGTCGAGAAGAGGCAAGGAGCTCCATCGCTGACCCGGAGGGAGGAGGGTGCCAGTGCGGCGTGCAGCTTGCGGCATCGTCACTCTGCGGTGTTTCCTAGTCTTGAAGAAGGGGAGCAATCTGGGCAAGCACGGGTCTCGGGTGGCAAACGAATGGACAGGGGGGGCAATCCATTTAATGAGGGGATGGGGTTGGAAGGGAAATACCGAAACAACCCTTTTAATATGGCCACATCCGAAAATTGAAGGGGGAAATTGGGTATAGCGTGGGTCTGCTCCTGTTCATAGCCTAGAAGAAAAAGCCTAGCAATTGTTATATTGTAATTGATCATCAAGAACCCCTTTATAGGTGTTTAGGTTAATCTTCTGCTTGATCACTTCACCTTACATGCAGGAAGATGGAAAGGAAGTGGCAAAAGATGCATTATCGAGGTTTTTCTATGATGTGAAAAAATAGAAGCATGCTCGAATGCAAAAACTAAAATTATTGTTTGTTTAATTAAGCATTTCTTTTGAATGAGTTGGTTTCTTTGTACCCTTTAATGTGCCATAGTTTGCAAGAAGTGAACAGCCCTGAGGCTCTTTGACACTGAGAAGAAAAAAGGCACACACATATTATTAGCAGCATGTTAATTGTCACTTCAACTAAGATTGAGGGGGAGGAGTGCCACATATTCTCCCTTTTTTAGTTGAGAAATCTCTCCAAATAGGTGGAAGAAAATAGGTCTCAAAGGTAACAGCATAATCATTAGCTTTGTGAAGGTGTCATTGAAAAGAAGAAAAAGGAATAACAAAGCTTGAAGTTGCAAATTCAAATAATGAAGATCTCTTGAAGCTGAAACAAATTGAAGCCTAACAATATAGGACTAGTTAAAAGAAGAGGTAGTCTACCATCCCTTCCTCTCAAAGGTAAAGGAAAAGGAAGAATGGATGCTTTACCACTTAAAAAATTTATTAGCAACACCAAAGAAAATTTGATGCTAAAGAATGATGATGTATAACATGCCTAAGCATATGATAACTCCTCTCCCATTATAAAAGGGGGTTGTTCAACCACCATTTCAAGGAGAAGTGATGAGTTTTGACTAGTCCAAGCCTCGAGGAACAACATTGTGAGGGAAAATTAGTGGATGAATGCTTGGGAAATTACTTTCGATTCGAACTTCAAGATCTAAAGGTTGGTTTCCTTCTCAAATATTTTCTTTATACAAATGATGCCATGTTCTTTTTCTTTTTTGTCTAAATTTTTGTTCAAAGAGGTTGCATAACATAGCATATGAAAGAAGTGAGAAAAGGGGAGCCAACAAATCATTGAGGCATTTGGTTTGTTCGAGGGCACATAAATATAAAACCGCTTATATTTTTGTGCATCCAATAGAATCTAATACATCATCAATTTGCTTTTTTATTTTCCATATGGATTGATCATTTAGATTTTACACTTGATCAACCCTAGATTTTGATTTGCTCAAATACAAAGCACATTGGTTGTAACCAGTGAAAAATTTCATGGTGTCGCGTTCGAGCGGTCACTCTGTCTAGGAAAAAAACTCTTATTTTTTACTTCATTTAAATGCTATCGGATAATCAAATCATATTAAGACTGACAATGCAAATTATTTTTTTTTTATCATCTTTCCAACAACTGTTCATAAATTAGAGTGATAGGTCAAGTACCTATCAATGTAGCACAAGATGTAAAAAATGGATGTCGTGTGCTTTCTTTCCACTTTGCTTGGTCCCACTAAGCACTTTGTATCTTATCTTCAACTAAGGTAGTTTTTGCTTTACAAAAGCTAGGATTTGTTTAAGGGAGTTGTTTGATTGCCATCTTATCCCTATTCACTTATTGTCACATGTTATTAAGTATGCGCCTACAATACCTAAAAAATATGCATTTGCTAAAGTGGAATTTGCTAAATGCGTGCTACATAGAAATTGGTGTAGAATATTATTAATGAAATGAACAATTCAGTTAAATTAAAACTCGCGTAATTTAGTTGAATTAATTATTTAATTTATAAATTCTAATTCTTATGAAAATGCATCTATATATTATTTTCAAGATATGCAAAAATTTGGTATAAATTTTAAGAAAAATTTTAATCTTAACCTTATGAAATTTTTGGTATTAAATTATGATATATTAATTTTATCACAAGCATATGAAGACAATTAAAATTTTGAAACAACTTTTGAACTGGTAAATGAAACATTGAGAAATACATGATATTGGCATCTCATGATTTTAGGGATTTAATTAAGCCATTTGTTAGTTCGTGTTGTGCTTTATTTAGCCCATATTGTCCATATATTAGTAATATGTCTCAAAAATTGTGCTAATAGGGAACATTACTCTCATAAAAACATTTTTTCTAATATAATGATGGTATTTTCATGTTCTTTTGATTTGATTTGTCATTGAAACTTTTAGTCAGCCTAAGGTCGTATTTTGGAATTGGTGCCTTTATCGATTGCTAGCTTTATGGTTGAGAATGGCCCCAAACCTACTCCCATAATTACCGATCAAAGGTTAGTCGAGATCTTTGCTTCTAATGATCATCCTATTGTTAGTATTTCTACTGCAAATGAGCTTGTGGAGAAGATGTCGTATATTCTACATGCCAGTTGGAGAAGAAAAAATAAGAAAAATGTATTTTCACACTCTAAGATATACCAGATTTCAAGTGAGATGTTTTCAATGATTACCACTGTGGTTTTTCTCTTCTGAAAGTTGGTTCATTGGCCAGTGGTTGCCTCTATTGGTTTTTTTTTTATCTTTTTATTTTTTGTTCTTTTCTTCTAGTAGTGGTATGCACTTGTTTCACAATGTACTCACTTTGTTAATAAAATTTGGTTTGCTTTAAAAAAGAGAAACATGTCAAAATAGTCCCTGACTTCTTTTGGCGAGTCATTGTAGTCCTAGGGTCTATAAAATTGCCAATTTGATCGCCCAATCTCTTTTAATATGGGTTGACGGAGGATATTTCAAGCCCAATTTAAAACATATGGGTCTAATTTAGCAATGCTATAGACTTTGTGATTAAAACAGTCCTATGTAAACAGTTCGGGCATTATTTTTGACACTTCTCTTCTTCAGAAAATGCTATAAAAAATATTAGGGCTAACTGACAAGCAATCGACCTCAAGGAACCAATTTTATAATCATGCTACCTAGGCTAATTGACAAGCAACCAACCTCAATGAACTCTTTCTAGCAATGCCAAGATTAACCCTAAGATGAAGAATAGTGAGCACGTCAAAGGTTTGAAGTTAAGGAGTGGAAAAGAGTTGGAAGACTTGGTTCATTGGCCAATGGTTGCCTTTTTTTTTTTTTTTTTTTCTTTTTTTTTTTTCTTTTGTTCTTTTTGTCTAGCAGTGGTATGCACTTATTTCACAATGTACTCACTCTGTTAATAAAATTTGGTTTTCTTTAAAAAAGAGAAACATGTCAAACTAGTCCCTGACTTCTTCTGGGGAGTTATTTTAGTTCTAGGGTCTATAAAATTGCGAATTTGATCCCCAATATCTTTTAATATGGGTTGACGGAGAATATTTCAAGCCCAATTTAAAACATATTGGTCTAATTTGGCAATGTTATAAAATTTGTGATTAAAATAGTCCCATGTAACCAGTTAGGGGATTATTTTTGTCACATCGCTCCTTCAGAAAATGTTATAAAAAATATTGAGTTTTTAAGGGTTATCTTTATTTCATTTTATTTAATAGAACATGAATATGAACTAGATATGAACACTTTCAACCTTGTGATTTATCCATGCATCTTATATATTTTTAGATTTGTGCTTACATAAGACATGATAATGCGCCAAAGTGGTATAGTTTGCTTAAGTTTTTTGGTTCATTGCTAAAATTCTTGTCGAATTTCATACTCTCCATTTCTAAGAGATTGCTTTAATCCATGAAGATATTTAATTCTATCTATTTTTTTTCTCGAGCTGTCTTTTGACTGAATCAATTTTCGTTGCTTTGGCAGTTTTTAAATTTTTTTTTTCTTTAACAGGATATCTCCGTTGTTTTAAGCACCCAAGAATATCAAGAATTAATGGAGAAAGTGGCTGCCAAGTGTTCTTCTTATTTTTCTCTTCTTCCTTCTGTTACCAGCATACCTACAAATACGGGTTCGCTTGAACCTGCTAGGAATGATCAGTTTCATTTGATTTCTAAGTTGATACAGGAAATGAGTGATTCAAGAAAGCCTGAAGGTTATGTGATCATGATGTATTTTTTTCGTTTATGATATCTCTCTATCACCACTTTTAGTATGTGACATTTTAAACTTTCAACTTGTCATAGAAAAGTGTCAGAATTGTTAATACTTATAGAAGGGTATAATTGCACATGACTATTTCTGACAGTGTTAATTGTGCTAAATGTTATTATCTCGTGGGACTCTGAATTTTTTTATGATAATTATAATTGATTAACATGCCTATGAGTTGGCCACATCATTTTTTTTTCACATTCTAAAAGGATTAAACTATGAAGTATCTTGATTTTGAATTATGATGGCAAAGAATCACTGAATAAAGACTAAAGTGCCAAAATTGTCCATTGACTGTTTACATGGGGTCATTTTAGTCTGTGAGTCTATAAAAGTGCCAAATTTGTCTATATATATTAAAAATTGGGGTGAAATAGTCTTTTTTTGGGGCTATTTCAGGTCATATTAAATGGTTTGGGACTAAATTAACACTTTTATAGGCTCTGAGACTAAAATAGCTCGTTGCAAAGAATTAGGAACATATCTTACACTGTTCTCATTGAATAAGTATTAATATAATTTAGAAATGAGGAAATTTCTTTTTTTTATTTAGTAACACTTAAAAGAAAATGTTACAAGTACACTGGCACTTCATAATTGTAATTATAATTAAAACTAGTATAGTTAATGAAATATGATTCTTTGTTAGGGTGAATGACATTTTTGACTTCTCAAAAGTGCAATGGACAAGTTAGAGGTGACGTGTTTCTGTATTTTCCATGTTCCATTACCCTTTTGTTTTACTGCACTTCGTGGAAGAGACTTCAATAACTTGTGGACGTTGTGCTTTTTCTCTCTTTTTAGCAGAGATGTGTAAATTGTGACCAGTACTCGCAACACAACTTTGGGGTTTATTTGGGATCACTTTTCTATTTGGTTTTTCATTTTTTTTATTTCCTTTTTTATGTCTTGTTTTAAATTAAAGAATGCTTGATTGAGGTAGTTGTTTTTAAAAATCACTCAAATCTTCTTTTAAGTGTTTTTTTTAAAAACAGTTGATTTGTTTTTAAAAACAAAAAATAAAAAATTATAAAAATTATACCAATCAAACAATTTTTTTTTAAAAAAATAAAATAAAATAAAGAAAACTAAAAACAAAAAAACAAGTTTGAGTGTATTACTTAATATTGATCCGTCTCTGATTTACAGTTTCCAACTAAACTAATTTAACAAACTCAACAGTTGAAATTTGAAGCATACAAAGTAAACTTGTCTTATGCTTGAGTTTTATATTTATATGCTACTTACCGTTTAATATTTTCTTACTTGGTTGTTCTATATAAAAGATTTTCCTGGATGACATTTTGAAAAAAAAAAAAGAATTATTTTCATATGCATTCTTAATCTTTTCTTCTTAGTAAGCATTTTTTAAATCTATCTCCGAACATTTCTTAACCTGTAGGCGATGACCCTGCATTAATTCTATATACAAGTGGGACAACGGGGAAGCCCAAAGGTGTTGTTCACACCCACAAGGGGATAATTTCACAGGTCTGTTTATGTAAACTTTAGGCTACCATTTCTCTTAAATGCCTGCCATTCTCTTTTGTATTCATAACATTAATACTTTTATAATCCATATAGAGTATAAAACTTTTATTTATGTAATTTTCTAACATTGCTATTTTTTCTAATTTTTTTAACCTCAAAGAATATGTAATATCTTTGAAGGGTCATAACAAACCTAAACTTTACGTTTCAAAAATAGTCAAAGATGATGCTTAGTTGAATCAGATTGTATATGTTTAACAGAGCAAAATTGAGTTTCGTGATTGAGCTTTTCTTTTACACTATAGCATGTGCTAGATATGTGAATAGTTAAGGAGTTAATTTCAAATTCTGTATTTTTGATGGGTGTGGGATTTTCTTAGTTCTTTTTTTTTTTGTATAAATTTTAGAATGGTTGGAAGAATTCTTAATCCTGCATTCTTTTTCTTTTAAACATCGGGTCCTAACTGCGACCTGGGAATTTAGCTATTTGCAAGGGGTACTTTGTAATTATCTGAGGTTTTCATTGGCAAATGCAGCGATGTTGTAAAAATCAACTAATTTAGTTCAGAAAAGGCTAAATTTTCACAATTTAATCAGTAGTTATATCTGGCTGCAAAGGCCATAAATAAAATCAATATTTAAGCCTTTTTAGACCTATTTCGATTTATGGCCGAAATTCTTAATTTTAATGTATTTTTTATTAGGTTCAGTTACTTTCTTTTGAATAATTTTATATCTGAATTTGATTTCAAGATAGTATTATATTAGATTTTGAATTTAAACATTGTAACCTTATTACTATAAATTCAGATTGTTGGATTGTAATTGTATAGACTATTTTAACGAATAGTGTTATTTTATGAAGTCAATTGAAAATATTCTCTTTTTTATTCATGTTGTGTATACGGATTCCTTCAATTTGTTTGTGTGATTTACTCCAAATTGTCTTCATTTCCTCTCCATCAGTTCATTTATTTATTTTCTCAGTTAGCACTAATCGTGCCATCTTCCCTGCAAAACCACTACAGATCAATAGAATTTATGTTAGGTCTCTTCAATGCTTAAGTTTTAATGTTATCGTATTATTGTAGATAGAAGGACACCAACATATATTGAAGATCAGCATTATCTCAAACATCACAAAAATTTTGCTTCTTGATCTTGATTTATCCTTTTAATTCTCTTTACTTGTATTTAAAATGATGGTTAATATTCATATTTTTTATGATGTTTCCTATGGATATTTTCTGGTTCATCTTGGAAAAGATTATTTGATGAGTTATACCATGCGGCATGCCAACTCATCTATAATTGTTTATTATATAATTTTAGTTTTCTACTGACCTTCACCATATCCATTGCCTAAACCACCAAATAACTAATCGAAAATAATCACAATAAACTCAAATCCACCACCGATTCTCATGCTATGATGGTGACCCTTATGAAGATGCATATGATGAGATGCCCCTTACTTTTGATGGAATTTATGATGACGATCCCTATGAAGATGTTTATAATGATATTTGACAGTTGAGTTTACTGTGCTACCTGATCTTGACTTATTATTAGAGGTTAAGATTGAGCATATGTTTGATGCAGTGCTTGATGTTTGACAAAGTTGTTTAGTTTGAAATTGTATTTTCTGAAGATTTAGTTGTGATTCTATTCCAGTTCAGTTGTCACAAGCTCAGAAGAGTTGCACTATTTCAAATGATTAAAATTTTCTGCATTCGCACTAATCAAAGATTTAGTTTGTGTTGTCACTGCCACAATTCTAATTCACTGTTAGTCCACATTGCAAAATCTTACATGTTTATAAAGTTTGGAGTCTCCCAATAATCAAGCTTTTAAATATTTGTGTTTTATGGATTTCCTCATGTTATTCTCTATATTGCAAGGGCACAGTACATCAGATGATCTAACGAGGCTATTTCCTCTTCCATGGCCTCCATTGCACTCTTCAGGTAGAGAGTTCTTTGATGGACGATTGAGTTTGTGATGCGGGTGTCTCCCGCGTAGGGGAGGGCTGCAGAACTCCTATGACCGACTCCCGCACTGTACTAGGCACAACTCTCTTTTGGCGCATGGGACCGGTTCAGAACAGTAAATTGAGATTCGGCCGACCTTCCTTTGGTGGATTTACCGCCTCTTTGCGAGAAGAGGCCCACTCCTAATTACCCTAGTGCTATTTATGTGCTTTTGTCCTGTTTAGGTTTCAGTTTTGTCATGAGTTTTGTTCGGGACAGCCGCCGGCGTCTCTGTTCTCCCTTTGAGGGTTGTATCCAAGGGTCAAGTGGTGCTCTTACCTCACTCCCGAGATAGTGTTTATCCTTCCCCAAATCCTCGGCAGGCATTCCGCCGCTTCTTTGTCACGCATCCCTCTTTTGCTGCAGCCACGGGCTGTTTTTCTGCAGTTTCAACTGTCGTTGTCGGCTTCCGCCCCCTCCTCTTAAATTCCTCTGCTGTTCTCAGCTTCCCACTTCGCTGCCATTGCTGTCCTAGTCCTTCACCTTCACTTCCTCAACCCCACAAATCCTTCCCTTTGCTGTTTTACCACTGTCTAGCCATACGACATTGCTGCTGCAGCCCCACAACTTGATGGAGGTCTGGAACATCGATGGCAATGGGTATGGAAGGCTGGAATGGCAGCTGCAGCGAAAGGGGAGGGATGGAGTGGCGATAGAGGTGGACTACCAGACATCAAAAGGAGGGCTGTCCTGGGCTGCGGCAGCGAGGAAAATGGTGGGAAAATTGCAAACAAAGGCTGTTCTGGGAGGTGCAAAGGGAAGGGGCGGCCGGGAGCAATGCAGGGAGGATGCGGATGAGAATAACAAATCAAATTACTACTTCGATAACGAGATACAACCGGAGAACCACCCGAAACCACCCAAACCCTTGGATACAGGCCTCTAAGAGAAGAGATATCAATTTTTGTCCTGATACAAAACATACAAAAAAAACTTAAAACCTAGGAGAAAGGAAACACATATATAAGCCCTAGATAACTAGGATTGAGCCCCCTTATGGAAAGGAGGTGCCAAACCTCTGTAGAAGGGTCGATCGGTCCTCCCAGGTCTACATCAGTTCAGTCCAGACAAAGGAATGGTGAATTCCCACAGCTTTCTGTTACACATGCGTCACGCAGCCCTTCACCTTTGCTGCTGCAACTCCTCAAATCCTTCTTTTTGTTGTTTTAGCATTGTCCAATTGTCCGACGTTGTTGTCGCAACCCCACAACTCCTTCCCTTGTTGTTTAGCATTGTCTAGCCATCCGACATTGCCGCCGCAGCCTCACAACTCCATCCCCTTGTTATTTTATTGCAGTTTCGGCTGCCCACAAGCTCTACTGCCTCTCATTCACCTCATATAAACCTTACCTGCTGAAACCGCCACCTTCCAACACCCCATCCTACCCATTCCATCCACCTACCACCACTTCTTGCCCACCTAGCCGACTACCACCTTTGGATTGACCCCTAGCTGAGTTTGTGCATCGAGTCTGTTGTTATTTCCCTTTTCAATGTGTTGGTTGTAATCCCCTATTTGCTTTCAGTAATAATATTTTGTTTTCCGTTATTATTTCGATTAACTCTAGAATCAATTGTTGTATCTCAAAACAATTAGTTTAGCCTAGAGAAGATTAGAAGTTTGTAGACCAATCACATTGGTCTTCAAAGAAGCTACGTCGGACTAGGTTTCAAGCCCTGCTAGGCTACTTTTTATTTATTAGGTTCAGTTATTTTCTTTGGGATAATAGTGTGTTTGAATTTGATTTCCAGGATTTAAATTTTAACCTTATCCTTGTATCCATTTCTATAAATTGAAATTTATGAATTGTAATTGAACGAAATTATTTTTTGAGTTTAGTCAAGTTTCTCCCTCTTGATCTAACTTATGTATGCGGATTGGTTCACATTATGTGCACGAAGCTTCTTCCTTCTTCATGTAGTGGGAATGCACTGTTGATTGTTGTTTGGTTATGATGTGTTTTGTGTATCTCAGTTCCAGTTCATAATTGTATGGCTTCCGCATTAGTTTAGAAGGTAAGGCTGAGGCCTTTACATTTACTAGAAGGCAACGTAGATGTTTTGAGCATATATAACATTGTAGAAGATGCATCAATAAAATTAGAGTTTATGTGGAAAATTTTGGAAGGACAAGGGTAGATTTAAATTAATATAATTAAAAATTGGCGTAAATGATTTGAATGAAAAAGAGTCCTGTTTTCATGTATCACTCGATAGGAGTGAATGAAGAAAGAGGTTTCATTTACCCCAGATAATTTATATGAGGCTTGCGATGATGATAGTGATGTCAGGGTAACTAGATCATGTTAAATGCTGCTGTCACTGCTTTGCACCCAGCTTGGAGCTCAATCGTGGAGCTGTATTCTAAGGTCATTTGGGATTACTTTTGATTTTTAATTTTATTTTTTATTTTCATTTCATTTTATTTATGCTTTAATTTTAAAGAATACATGTTTGGTATGATATGACATGTTTAACTGCTTTTAATAACATTTAAAATAACTTTTTTGAGTGTTTTTATAAACAATTTAATTTGTTCTTAAAAATAAAAAAATAAAAACAAGCAAATATAATACTATACAAACGTGATTTTAAAATAAAAGCAAAGCGAAAATAAAACACAAAAATAAAAATAATACCAAACAAGCCGTAAACTTTCTGTAGTTTCAATCAATATGTATAGGAGGATAACATTCATTCTTTGTGTACTTGTTTCTTTCAAGACTATATACGCTTTCCAATGATTTTTTGAAATTTAACTTAGTAAGCATTACATTTTCGTTACTTGACTGTTTAAATTATGATCCTTTTTGTCTTGCTGTGAAATTAACTTATCCAATGTTTGGCATTTTTTCCAGGTTCAGATTCTAACAGAAGCTTGGGAATATACAAGTACTGACCAAATTCTTCATTGCTTGCCATTACATCATATCCAACACAAAAGACTGTTAAGATATAGAATATTATATACAGTATGGTTTACAGAATCTAGACATTGCTCCAATAAGTATTTGTAAAATCTCTCCTTGATATATATTTTTTCTTTCTTATGTTAAAAGCTTGATTATCTACTTCCAGTTTATTGTTTTGCCCATTTCCAATGGGATCCTTAACCTGTATGCCACATGTTCATGGTCTTTTCAACGCGCTGCTTGCCCCTCTTTATGCTGGAGCTGTGGTAATGTTTTCTTACTGTTTAATTTTTCTCTACTTCACAATTTATTCCCTAGGTAACTAACCGTTGCTACATAATATCCTTGGGCATATTGCTTAATCCTCGAATCTTTTGTAGAATTAAATTTTTGTCTTCTTGCCTTGACACGTGTGCTTAATTCTTTCTTCTGAAAGGCTTGAATAATGCATAACTTCTACCAAACGTAGCTGTGTTATGTGCGATGTAGTGTTGCCATAGGGTTTGTTTGGAATCAATTTTATTTTTTTATTATAGCTGTGTTATGTGCGATGTAGTGTTGCCATAGGGCTTGTTTGGAATCAATTTTATTTTTTTATTTTTTTATTTTTTTAATGTTTTTTTAATGTGTTTTTAATATGTTTGTATTTTTTGTTTCTAAAAATAAATTATTATGTTTTTGAAAACACACAAAATAATGTGTTTTATGTGTTTTTAAAAACAGTTGTACTTTAATTACACAGCCAAATATATATATATATATGTATATTTTGTTTCAATTCAAAACAACAACAAACTAAAATAAAATAAAAAGTAAAAAAACAAAACACAAAAGTGAACCCAAATGGCTTCTTAACTTCTTTGTTTTAAACCAAAGCTTCAACATTTTTATTCTTTATAACTGATTATGATGCATTTCTTTGAAGGTTGAATTTATGCCAAAATTTAGTGTAAGAGGTGTTTGGCAGAGATGGAGAGAATCGTATCCTGATAATGGAAATAAAGTTGATGATGCTATTACCTTGTTTACTGGGGTAAGACATTGTGCTTTACTGATTACGTTTATCATGGTCTTGGTTATGTTTTTTGTTTCCCTGTTTAACTAGGATGCTTTTTTGCTTTATCAAAAGTATTGAAAATAAGAACTCGTTGGTTATTTGGAAGTACAAGATTGTATTAAAAATTTGATAGAAATTTGGAAAGTAGAAATGGAAATCCATCTTATCTTATTACTTAACCTATTGAATTAGGTGTGATTTAGTATGAAAAAGAGAGGAAAATTTGTTTTTGAGTGAAATGTTAATTTCTCATGTATTCAAGAGCGTGTATTTGCAGTCTTCTCTAGTCCCAATTGCAAAATTTTTGCTTTATATTCAAAGGTCATAACGGTTAATTTTCTTGCCTGCTTAAATTTTATTATTAAGTTGCAAAACATTGATTTTGGCATATTTAATGGGAAAAGTTAACACTTCTTATAAAAATAAGATGGTGTACCCACAAAATCACGTGGGTATCAGTTTGTTATGGCATAAGCCCAAGAAAAAATCATCATTATACTCTCCAATACCTTCCAGCCTTTATTTTTAGAATCACAGCAATTAAAATATTAGGTTTTAACAATGAATTTTAAATGTTTAAGTTGATGTTGAAAGGGTCAAATTGTTGTTTCATATTTGCTTGTGAATGCAATAAGTTTGACACTCCTGATTGTGGAGTTATTAAAATTTTTGTTGCTAATGAATCTTTGAATTAATTGTTAAATTTATAGGTTCCAACAATCTACACTCGGCTGCTACAGGGCTATGAGATGATGGATTCAGATCTTAGAGCAGCTTCTGCTTCAGCTGCATGTAAATTGCGTCTTATGGTAATGGATTCTAAGACAGCTTCTCTTCACTTGTAGGAGAAATCTAATTAATGAAAATAGTATGACATGTGGAATTATTTTATATTTATAGGCAGTCTATCCAAGTTTATCCATTGTTCTTGCCAGGCTATTGTTGATATTTCTAGAAAATCTGTTTTCTCAGTCTCTGAAGTAAAATTCCCAAGTTAGCATATATGATTCTTATATAATAAGTGTCGCATTGCCTTAGGTATAGGCTTCTCTGTCACACTACTCTCCAAAACTACTAAGGTTAGTCTCACTGGCACTTCTCTCGTAGCCCGTAAAAATATAGCACGAGTTATTTTAGTTCTCATCTCTATCTGATATCCATCAATGTTGACTCCTTCAATGGCACAAGTACAATTTGATTCCCGTTCTTGATAAATGAGTAGGTATTTTTGTGAATATTATAAAGTGTTCCCATCATACTGTCATGGTTGGACCAAAAGAATATGAAATGTATCCATATATATGATATCACACCACACTTGATCTTTCAGCTTGTCTCTAATAGAAATTCTTTAAATTATCTCTTGTTAAAACTGTTCGCATTTCATTTCTTCAATCTAGAGGTTATGGTTGGGAATGCTTATGGATAGCAAGGATCACTTTGTCCATCATCTGTGTAGATACCACATTCTTGTAGCTACCTCTATTTAAGATGAGATTGCACACCTCGTTTATAGTATAATGTGTACATAAAATATTCTGTCTAAGCCACTGCCAATCCCTTTTAGACTCGGTTTGGAGAACTCGTCAAACCTCAAATATCTCACTATCTATTCGTATGTGAGTAGATAGTATTCCTCTCCAGAGCTTCCAATATTCACTTCTTCCACTACAACATGCTCGGTGAAAGAGTTCACTTTTTTGTTTAGATAATCGGATGTAATGTGCCCAAAATTGTAGCACTTAAAAACACTTCATAGTTTGGAAATATTTGAGTGTTTGTGGGCCCAACTTTTCTCCACTTTGAACTGATTTCTCCTCACGATTGTCAACTTAGGTGCTCTAATTCGCTTGATCCTAAGGTCACTATCTATAAGTTGTGGTGTTCTTCTGATGACAATGCATCTTCTCCACTTTTAAAACTAGAGTTTGTAAATTGATTAGGGATCGATAATATTATAATTGTACTACATGTTAATAGATGACTTCAACCCTCAAAGATTCCTCACTATCATGTGCTCTTTTAGCTCCATCAACTCATATTTTAGTGTGAGTTATCAAATTTGGCCTTGTACTCCACAAAAGAATTTCTTTGGTGTTGTTTGTTGAGTTTTAGGAATATGTCGTATCAGTAATGCGAGGGAAGATATATTTGTGGCATCTTCCTCTTCTTCTTAGGATATATGGTGTTCTTACTCTTCTCTTTCTGTAGTCAAAGACTATTCAACTTTTTCACTTCAAAGAAGTGTTTTTCCTGTACTTGATAGGTGTCAATTTGATCCTCTTGTTTTGGGGAATGTACTTGAACTCAAAAACTTGTTACATTATTTGTAGCTACCCAATGAATTCATTTGGATCCAGACAATCATCAAAATCTGGCAAGTCAATCTTTACCCCAAAGTCATTGTCTTTTATCTAATATTTAAAGACAAATCGTCAGGACATTAGTTCTTTATCACTAAAAACTTTATGGTGAAAGGGGTTGACTTTCTCTTATAGATCTTGTGAGTCACCATTGTGGCTATGAGTGTCTTCTCTGGGTTATCTTCTTTCAAAGGCGGCAATGCCGCCTTTGTTGCAGTTAGAGGATCTTTTAACTGTTCTCCATTATAAGCTTTTGGACACCTCTTTACATGTTCTCCTTTGCGGCATGTTTTTTATTAAAACAGAGTTGGTGGTTTACAAAATTGGACGATGGAGTTACATGAATTAGGTTAAGTGGCTTTTAGATTTAGGAGTGAAGAAATATAAATCCCTAAAGATTTAGGGTTTACTTGGGTCTAATATCAAATAATACTGTTCTAATGTTCCTACATGATGTGAAAGGATTAAAGGATGACTTAGAATAGTAATAAAAGGGACAACAAGAAAGAAGGGGTGAGGAAATTTGAAATCTCGCATAATATGTGGTAGACAATAATCTGGGAGTAGGAACTAATAAGTAGGCAACAAATGTGCAGGTAAGCAAAGATATTTGGACTTACGAGAGAGTTCATGTCACACCCCAATTGAGCCTCTTTTAGGGTCAACTGTGGTGCGACAGAAGGATGAATCAATTAGACTAAATTCTTACCGGGACTCATCCTGACTTGTAGAATCAGGACTCAGTGGGTGTTGATCTAGTATAACTAAATTGCCGCAAATATATTTGATGTATTTTATTTCATAATTTATTCATATTCGCATACTTGGAAGTATGTATATAGAGAGAGAGAGAGAGAGAGAGAGAGAGAGAGAGAGCCCAATGGCTAATATATTAAAAAGAAAGAAATATATAGATAGATTGTATGAGAAAGCTCAAGCATTACACAAGCATTGCACCCTACTCACACGGTAAACACCACATGCAAATGATTCCAGAAAAAAAAAATACAGAAAAATAGATGAGAGCCCAAAAACTAAGAGTGTCAAAACACGTAATATCAATTAGCTAGAGAGCGACCCAATTTTGTCCTGCATCTGTCTTTAATTTTAGGAAAGGAGTCAGCTAACTAGTTTTAGGAAAGGAGTCAGCTAATAAATTGGTAAAATGAGTGTCATTGTTAGTAGTAACCAATGCATTGTTCAATAAGTTCCTAAGCTCGAGTCGGCCTCCATTCTTTTTCTTCCTCCTGGAATAGACCTGTCATTCCTCATCCGAAGACTGACTCATATGATCAGTGGATTGGTCTAAACTGTGTCGGACATGTGTAGTTTGTTGAACATAGTTTGTTGAGCATTGAAAGCATCTACTTGTTGTACCAGCTAATCTTTTATTGGATCAAAGTAGCACTCTCGTGTGTCTTGGCATGTGAGTCTTCTTCAATAACAATAAATGATATAAGCACAACTGGATCTGTAGCTGTTGTAAGTTGTTCTTCCTCAGGAACAGCGGGGTGGGGAAGAGGATCCGG